ATATATATATATATAGGGACGATGCCTTTTGCCACGCATGGTTTGGTGTTCATGATTTGCGGTATATTTATACGATGAAAACAAATTGTGGCGTACTATTACACTCCTGAGGGATTTAATGGTGCAATTTTAAAAGGAATTATTCTTAAAATAATTGAAAAAGCCGAATTAGTAGGTCTTAAAGTTCACAGTATTACATCTGACATGGGAGCGGTTAATCAAAGCATGTGGAGAGCTTTTGAAAATATATCTGCAACAAAGTATTCCAAAATTAGAAACTCGGTGCCACATCCACTAAATAACAGTCGAAAACTGTTCTTCTTTGCCGATGCTCCACATCTTTTGAAAAATCTTCGATCTGCCTTGGTGAATAATAAAATTATAATATTGCCACAGAATTTCGCGGAACTGTATGAACTATCTTCATGCATTGTTAAATGTGCACATGTCGAAGATTTAGTAGCTGAGCAGGAAAACGTCGTGTTTAAATTAGCATCAAAATTAGATAAGGAAACTATTACTCTTACGAATTTCAATAAAATGAGAGTTAATAAGGCAACCGCTTTATATGACAGAGATGTTAGTAGTGCATTGAAATTTATGGGAGAAGAACGTAACATAAACGAGTATAAAGTAACTGCTCTATTTATTGAAATTGTATCAAAATGGTTCAATTTAATTACTTCTCGAACTTGTGCAACTGCGTTAGGAAAAATAGAAGGAGAAGAAAAATCGCGAAGAAAATTTGATGAGAGTATAGAGTTTTTGAAATCAGTCATTGATCTATTCTGTAATATTAAAATTGGACAAGATGGAAAATTTAAACCCGTACAATGCAGCATTATGATCACTACTACATCTCTCATAGAACTGACAAATTATTTAATCAATGAACAGGGATATTCATATGTGTTGGGCGCAAGATTCACTCAGGATTGTGTTGAAAACTTGTTTTTAAATATACGAAAGAAATTTCCTGTGCCCAATGCATTACAGTTCAAACAAAGCTTAAAGATCCATAGCGTTTCACAATATTTACAAGTTCTAGGAAACACCAATTACGAACAAGACGAGGGTACCTTAGTAGTTAATTTTTTAACAAATTGTCTAAAAAAAAAAGAATCGTAAAATATCGTACGAAATTCCCATAATTCCTGCTCACATTGATAAAATAGAAATTCATATGGACAATGTTCACTTAAATGTATTATATTCTCTTGCTGGTTATATTCTTCATAAAATTTCTAAACTGCCGACAGTTTGTAAAACTTATATTGATTCAGCTGGATCGACAACATTTGATGCCAATACATATGAAGTATTCCAAATTAGTACATTTAAGGTGTTTTAAATCAACAACATTGTTTTTTGTTAACACGGCGACTTTTAATTATTTTCATGACATGGAAATTATTCTAAGAAAATATCTACCTTATGTTAAAAATAAACATTGTGATTTAATAGAGTTCTTTACTGTAAAAATGGCTGATATTCGTTGTAATGCGCTGGAAACTTGCTGCGATTTATTTAATAAAATAATGAAACGATATATTACGTTTCGCATAAAAATTGATTGCCAAAAAGGGCGATTAAAAAATAAAAATTTTAGTAGTAAAACCATGGCAAGACATGCTACTATTAAATAACATTATTTACTTTTAAATTAAATCTGTATTCTTACACACACTGTATTCTTACACGTATTTTTTCACAAATAAAACTGTTGAAAACAAGTTTATTTCTTTATTGTTCCATTTTTACCAGTTGAATAATACCGCGCGCTAAATATATGTATTTGAGACATCTTATTGGTTCCGCCATATTTTGTCAACGCCAATAGAAAATATGACAACAGTGTCCAGACTCTTATTATAGGGACTCTAGGTGGCGTGGCGCGAAGCGCCACGCGTGCGTGCGGGCATCTTGGGTGCTCAGAAGAGTCTCGATCACGGTCGTGTTCAGACGTCGATTACGGGTTAAGATACAAAGTGTGATATAGAATAAATAGTGCACTCAGAGTGTTGAAATAAGTAGAAGAGATTATTTCCTGCCCATCTCGCCACATCCCGTAGCGTTCCAAGTGATATTTCCTATACATACAAATGAACAATACATAGACAGTCTCAATAAAATATTAACTATACATCCAACACAAAAAATAATCCAATCATACTGATAAACTGTTCAATACAAACACTAAACTGTTCAAACATAACACACTGCACTGAAAAAAAAAATTAATTTATTTTACTTTCTGGTAATATATAAATATAAAATGTTAAAATGTAAAAAAATATATAAATCTAATTTCTTTTTATGCCTTACAAAAAACGTACAAAGCTTTCTTTCTTTTGCAGGATATATTAATCATGACCGATACTAAATATATTTCTCATCTATTTGCTCCTGTAATAAACGTTGCTTTTATCAAGTCCTTCTTTAAACTTTAAACGCACTTGTAATATAAAATAGTGTGTGTAACACGTGCGGATTGAAAATTGGACACGAGTGCGTTCACTCCGCACTCGTGTCCAATTTTCAACTTCCCGCACTTGTTACACAAATAACTATTTACATACGTAATAATACGTACCATAATTTTTCAATAATAAAGTCTTGTATGAAAAAATTTATCTTGAACTTTTGATTTACTTCTGGGCTTTTCCGCAACTATTTCAGCATTTTGTGTATGTTATCAATATGGAAAGATATGTCGTCTCATGTTTCTCACTCTCTATCTATGTAACTTACCTATTTACTTTTATATTCGTATAACTATCATTCGTATAACTTCAAAATCAATATCAGTATGATTAATTAACAATGTGTTTAACAATACCACATACTAATTATTAAAGATTTATTTGGAAAGTTTTAAATTAGAAAATATCTTCCAAACCTAAATATTTTTTAAATCCGTTGTATTAATATGTTCCGAATGTTTCTCAGGATTCTAGTTGTATCAGCTACATCCTTTGTTCGGATATCTTGTTTTCAAGAAAATCTTTTTCAAAATCCGCCGTATACACGTATTTTTGAATTCACTTATATATATTTCTTAACATTTCTATTTGAATTCAGGTTGCTAAACATTAGCAACATATATCGGTTTTCTATTATTTCTATTATTTATCAGTTTATATAGATAAAACAGTGATCAGACATAGAGTAACTATAAAAAAATACCCCGAATTTATTTTTATATGAGAAATTACACCGCGTATTGTATTGTCGTAAAATACTTATTGTTGCCGCACACTATATAATATTTATAATAAACTTTTAAAAATATTGCTTTCTCATAGAGAAAGCTTTGTCTTCGTAATAAATTTTTTTTTAGTTTTCTATGCCAATGTATTCAGAAATGTTCTAAAATGTCGAAAAATCGCATTTTTTTTAATATCCCGTATGTATGTATGAGTGTGTGTGCATATATGTACGGATTCTTCGAAATTTCAAATACTATAACTTAATTAAGAATTGCTTGAACTACAGCGCTGCATTTTGGCACACAAGTAAAGTAGTACATTTTTATTTACTGTTATTTTTATAAAAATTTATACAGTGTTTTAGATTATAAGGCAGTTTTAATTTTTCAAAAAATGTTTGTAGAAGTTCTAACTTCCGCAATTTTTTTTTAGTAAACAAAGTATTATTGGAAGAATGGTTGGTTTTAATTTTGATGAGAATTAGGTAAAGGGTTCATTTTTTATAAAATTTTAATTTTAAATTTTTTTTAAATGTAATTTTTTTAATGCACAAAAATGTAATAAAAAATTATGTAATATATTGAATAAATGTCAAATTTTTATTCAAATTAAGTTTCTTTATTCATTGTCTACTTTCTGTAAAGGTTATATAAAAATAAAAAGAGTGTGCAGAAACTTGCACATTCCTTACCATTTTTTCGCTCATAAAGCTCCTTGTAGAAACCAATCTATTACAAGCTAATAATTTTGCTAATTCCTCATAGAGGAAGCTTTATGAGTGAAAAAAGATAGTGAGAAAGCAATGTGCAAGTTTCTAACTTGTACACTCTTTTTGTTATATACTTCCAAAAAATATTTCCCTCATTCGAATCATGCCAATCATTACAGTGTTAAATTTTAATATAAATAGAACTAATTTTACGCGATTGCGAATAATTTTGAATAGAAAATCTTATGCCTCCTCAAAATTATAAAGCATTAATTCTATATTATTAATATTTTATATAAGAGATTACATATTTATGACAAAAACATACATGTATTTATAATTTTACATAAATTAATTGTATAAAATGAAAAATGCACATTACGGAAATAAATATCTTACGTCGATGTTCTGTTCCATCTCATCGTTATATTTTCTCCAAAAGAAAAGCTTTTATGACAAATTTTTTTATTTTATGTCAGAATATATAACATATCTCATAAAATATTCACTTCTCTGAATAATCTTAAGATTTTTATACAAAAATAATTTTAAAAATATCGACTTTATATGTGTTAAAATCTTTTACATTTAGTTCGATTTCATACAATTCTTTATTTTATAACAGATTATGCACTTATAAGAGTATTTAATCTCTCTCTTTCTCTCTCTCTCTCTCTCTCTCTCTCTCTCTCTCTCTCTCTCTCTCT